GTGCTCACTTGAAAGTTTTTTAATTTATTCAGTAGTTTTGTGGTTTTTCCACACTTATACCTTGCACTCATTTACCTTGGTCCCAGTTTCCTGCGGGGCCCACCGTATCTCTGCATGGTTTACCATCGTTGTCCGCTCTGCCACACAGCACACATCACAGCACACCTCAGTAAGCAACTGCACATCAGCCAACTGTGGAACATCTTTCATATGGCTATACACTATCACACTATCTTACAGACGGGTGGCAGATTGATTCCATTATTATTATCATCTCAATTATGCAGAGCAAACAAATGGGGCATTTTAGCAGTGAATACCCAAATTATTTTCAGAATCGTGCAGGCTCTTTATGTTCCACTGGTCATGAAAGTCAGCACTTTGCTATCATGAATAAATTCACAATTTAAGTATGTGTATCAGCCGTCATATCTCATTTTGTGCTCTGCAGCGCAATAGCGGTTGAATGTGAGAAGATCTCCTCGACATGTACTCTATACCGAAGACGAACGGCATCATGAGACAGTGAACCCGAGCAAAGAATGGGTCTCGCAGGCCAACGCAATTCCCCTGAGAGGAGCTGTGGAAATCAGGTGAGCTAATGCTCACATGTGTGCAGGACTGCACTGCACTGCAGTGGCATCAGGCGGAGAGCTGTTTTCGGAGCATGTTTAAAGCCTGAAACAGGAACAAAAAGTAAACAAGCCAGAATGTGGAAAGACAAGGGAACTCAGGGAACACAGCAGAGCCTAATTGTTGAGTTACAAGCCTGAGTATCATTATAACAGCTCATAAAGTGCAACGTTACCCCTCACGGACCACACAGCAAGGCCTTGCACAGCAACTTCACACACATTTTATTGTTTTCATTTTACAAGTTGCACAAAAAATGATCAAGACACCATGAGGCCTGTGAAAAGCCCCTGGGGGACTGTGTAAATGGGCATACATCAATTAAGACCTCATCTTGAACAATTTTACACATTAAGTTGCCCTTAAAACATTTTTCTGGGTTCAGTAACTTTAGCACAGTCACAACAAGGGCTCTGGGCTTTCACCTTTCTGAAGATTAAAAATTCTTGTAGTTTTCACTGTTCAAGATTACAAATATTCTGTCTAGAAGATATTCAAAATAAATACGTCAGTCTTTTTGTAGCCTCTTTCATAGTGGTGTTTTCCATGTTATTTTAAATATTTATGCATTTCTGATGAGGAATAAAGCAGTCTGCACTACACTGAGTGTCATCTGTAAGGCTTGTCCAGTCTTGAATTTTATCTTAATCTTTCTGAATTTCCTGTACTTGCTATTTCTGCAGTTTTCGGTAATCCCCCTAATTTGGTATCATTTGCAAACTTGCCAAGTTTTCTAGCTATACCAGATCTACATTAACAATATATATTAGTCCATTTAACTGTGGTACTCCCCAAACTGAGTATTCACTCAGAGTAACGTACAGTACAAATAGCCATTTCTCAGTTCTAACACTTGCATTACCTTGAATGTCTACCACCTGCAATCTGAGAATTATTTTTCAGGAGAAACTTCATCAAAAGCATTTGGGAAATTTTATAAACTATGCTGTGTCTGTATCTTTTACCACTGTTGCATTTAATCCAAACCTATCTTGTTTGAATCCTGGCTGACTATAAAATCAGTTATGTCTCCTGATTTATAGCTGGATGCTACAAGGTTCATCAAGGTTTAGGGGAGAACACAGATTCACTGCTCTGCTTACGTTGGGTTTGCGTTGCTTAGCTGGTCAAGGGTTTTAAAGATTCACTGCCGTCCTTGTTTCTTAAAGGGTTGAACCCTTACAGGGTCTGACCTGTGAGATGAGAGCTATTCCTCTCTTATTGTGAAATCAATACAGACAATAACAGGACCGTAAAAAGTGCAAAATTAGCTAAAAGACCTTCAATTTGAACTGAGTTCAGGAGATCAAACACAGGGGATCAGAGGATGTGATGCAAGTACTGTAAGTTAACACTTGATACAGTTTTTATCTGGCCAGTAAAGAGAAAACACTATTCATCCAAGATCGGTCAACACAGTCACTTGTGTATTCACTGACACTGCTCCAAGGACTTTGTTATCTTTAGGGCTCATACCAATAGACATCATTGTTTCTTGATGTAACAGCTGTAATTACACATGAGCCTAAATACAGATTTAAACCCAACTGGAGTTATACAGTTTCCCATATGAGGCTGGGCAGTTTACGTAGTGGGCTCATATGGAAATCTCACTAGGAGAATAATACAAGGGAATATACAGTAGGTGCTACACAGCAGCCGGGAGGAGAGACAGAGTGGAATCGCGTTGCAAAGAGAACCACAGAAATCAGAAGCCCAGTACTGTGAGGTGGAGGCTTTTTAAACGTAACAAGCCCTTAGGTAAGGAATGCAGATATATTCATTGAGCACAAACGGCACTGCTCTGTCTAGGCACTGATATGCAAATGGCTGCATTAGAAATGGGAGCCCCAGCTATCTTGCATCAGTAGGCTGTTCTGCACTTGGCTCTACAAGACTGTGTGGCTGCTCTGGTGAGGTCTGCATTGATTCAGAGCCAGGGGGTCTGATTGTTGTGCTGAGCAGCTCCAGATGGGGCTGTCTGTGGAGCTCCTCTGCACATCAAGGGGGAGCCTTGGGGACAAAGGGACACACAGGACCGCCGAGCTCACCTGGAGCAGCAGCTGTGATGACATTTCTTCAAATGCACAGCGCCAGAAGGAAGTCCCTGCCAACAGCACTGGGATCTTTCCATGAAAACAATCCTGTGTTTGGAGTAAATAAGGGCATGGCATTTGACAAATACAAAAAGATTAGTCTGGGATCTATAGCAGCGCAGATTTAGGTTGCAAAGCTTGCACATTATTTAGCCTAAAAATATACCCCATGTTGTCAAATTGCCGTTGAGCCAACTTCTACACATGAAATAATGCCAGCAAAGGAAACTGCTTTCACAGTCCAACAGCAAGGAACCACTAATAACAGATCTGACCTCTAATCGCACTGTCCTTGCAGCATGTTGACTTTGGTGGTTTGACTGACTTCTCCCTGGATTTCATTCGCTGGTTAATTGGTGCTTTGAGCAAAGGCAGCCCCAAGGGTGCCAGACCGCAGCAGGGGAAAAACAAAAGAAGAAGCAGATCTGAAATGCAGTCTTGGATGTGGACCTCGAGGTGGAGATGGAGCCACAGATCATTCCCCTGCAGAAGGGCAGAAGCATCTGCATGAAACCTCGATGAGCCTGTTAGCATCTTTAGAGAAGTGGACCCTGAAGCTCATCCTGTGCTCCGCAATAACAAGCCTCTCACACACAGCAGCTTATTGCAAAGACTGCAATTCTGAACTCTTGAATTCTGGAACAAGGGAATGACAATCTACAGCAATATGAGCATTATTGTCGCTACTAATAATACTTCTTTGCATTTGAATCCCAAAGGATTCGCTATCTAGAGTCCCATTTCTTACCTAACTGAAGTGCGGCCCCACCAGGTATAGATGTGAGAAATTGTTTCAGCAGTTGAAATAAGGATGTGAGGGAGCCCTGTCTGTGCCAGCCCACAGCAGCAGCACTAGCGGCAGCAATGATCAGATCACTGCCGTCTTCCAATGTTAAGTGCAACTGAGAAAACACACACAAAAAAGAAACAACCACAGCTTCCATTGGTACCCTAAGTGTTTTAAAGTTTGACGATACTATATTTGGGTGCCACATCATTTTTATTCTTCAAGAGAAGAAAACAGAAACCAGAAAACTGGTTTGGATAGCTGCAAAGGGGAAACCAATGACCCCAGAAAACTGTTTTTTTGTGTCCTTTCATTCCAAGCTGAGGCGATTCTGCTGGTGCTGTCTCAGGCTTTGGGCATCAATGTCTGTCAGAGAGCACAGCGATGTGTCCTGTTGAAAAACTGCCTAGGTTTTCAAAGCAAACCTTAAGTGCTGCATCGTGGCTTACACACACCTGTAAAAACCTCCACAGCTGAAGCACTGTTTGTTCTTCTATCTTTTTACTTTTTGGAGTGGAATCACCACCTGCCTGCTCCTCTGCAGCCTGCACGCTGACACAGCTCTCCTCTCTAATCACTGCTTATGTCACACGCTCCCCGGTCAATGATATAAACCCCTTTCGCTGTGCTCCCATTGTCTAATGCTCGACAGCTCTCTCTCTGCTCGCCTTTCGGAAGATGTCTTGGAAGTAAAGAGAGATATGGCACTGTCCTCACTAAATTCCAGTTCAGGCCTGCTCAGACTAACCCTGTTTATTTTTCAAGACAGTTTAACCGGAGAAGTAAACTTCCCTCCTTTCCACCTATCTGCAGTCTAATGAGCTGCAGAAGTTTTCTAGGTTATCAATGGGGCTCAAAATCATTGGACATTCAGAAGAGTTCCTAGCCTTCCTGTGGCTGCTTCGGAAAGTGGAAAAGCAGTGAGGAAAGGAAAGTGGAGAGGTTCCTTATCACAGCATCTTACTACATCATGCCTCGGCCCCCCAGTTCCCAGATCACTGGGAACAGAAACAAAGCCCAAAAGAAATTTGTTCGGCACTCTCTGTCTCACCTGCAGGCACAGGTCGCCGAACGTAATGGATACCCCCAGTGGCTTGTGAAACTGAGCAGGAAAGACAGATTAAGGACTAGAGTCTGAAAAAAAAAGGGTTCATTTCCGACCGACAGACCCTTTGTGTATCTCACCCCTGTGTTGTCTCGCTATCCATGAATGAAATTCAAAATAAAAATCTACTCCCCTTATTCAAAGATTTATCCAGAACGCAGGGCACCTCCGGGGTCCCTCTCCCTCCCTGCTGTGTTTTGTGGGACGTCACGGTTATGAAACGCAGGTATGGAGCTGTGAACAGCGAGGAGTCACTGCTGTCAGCACCTCGTTGCCCAGGACGTTTTTATCTCTCCGCACTCTGGGCCAGGTGTGGATGTTTTGTTTTAGACAATAAAGTATTGAAGCAGATATGTATATACGGTTGTATATTTTTATTTCTCAGATGCAGACAGCAGACACACACCTGTATGAGATAATAAGAAATAATGGACCCTGGAAAGTTGTAGAAAACACTCCAATAGACCAGGAAACAAATAAGGACTTTTTAGGTGCAGGAAGAGTTTGTGCTCAAAGCCGGATGTCGCAGCTACCCTGGAGAACAAGTCTGAACGAGGGGATCACTCTCAGGTGTGCTGACCATCACAGGTGCGTTGAGTGAAGATCAATAAAAAATATCTTTCCCTCCATTTTCTAACCACTTTACCCAATTCAGGGTCACAGGGGAGCTGGAGACTATCCCAGCAAGCAAAGGGGAGCAGGCAGGACACAGACACAAACACACACTCACTCTCACCGGGCCCAGACGCCAATTAACCTGCTGTGTGAGGAAACGGGAGCACCTGGAGGAAACCCACACGAACAGGGTGAGAACATCCCAACAGCATCCAGGAAACACTCCAGGTCTGGAATTGAACACAGAGCCCCAGCGTTAGTGTTGTGAGACAGCAATGGCAACCACTGTACCACCATGCCACCATGTTCATATGGATAAGATTGGAAATCTTCTCCCAGAAATGGACAATTAAGTGGAATTAAGGGTTTTATTATGAATAATGTTCATGTAAAAAGAGCTTGTTTATAAAAAGCACTCCATTCCCCAAAACAGCCACATTACCTCAGTTTTCTCCATGTGAGTCTCATGTTGGGCTTCGGTGTGGAATGGCCATTCTGAGCCATTGTCAGATGCTGGTGAAAGAGAAACAGTGTCCCGGGTACTTCAGGTATCTTTCAGTAATGAACGCGGAGCCACAGCTTTCTTCTGTTGCCAAACGTCAGTCTCTCTGTGCATTAAACGAATGATAAATTCATACGCTGTCACCAAATATAAAAGAAAACTGCTAATGTAAACACATTTTATAGGATCTCACTTCAAGTATATGAACACAAAAACACAACATGGAGGGCACAAGCGGAGCCGGTGTGGAATTTCATTTAAAACCGGGAACAGGAGGCTGTACGTTACCCAGAGGGCTGTGGGAGTCTGGAAGAAGGTGCCCAGCCACGTAGCTGAAGGCGGTACCCTGGCTTCTTTCAAGAACCACTGGGATGAGATCCTCAGGTGAATTTGCTACTCACACTGCCAAATGAGCTGGATGAGTTGAAAGGCCCCCTCTGTAACCTTTCGTAAGTTCTTATGTTTCACATATTCCAACTTCAGCACTCCACCCAAATGTCTAGGAAGATCCCAAAAAACTGCAATAATGTGTCTTTGTAAAGGGAGAAGCTCCTTTGGTTTTTTCAAAAGCTGTTCTGTTTTTAGTCCCTCTTAATCAGCCTTTGATCCCTTTCTTGGCAATACAGTTAATTCTTTCTGCAGGTACATACACAGCAGGGGAACCCGAGCAGAGACAAAAAGCGTGATTAACTCAGGGATTGAAGAAGCTAATGTTAAGGTGGCTCTAAGGCTCTGAGCCTAGACACACGATCTCTGCGAGGTGCTGCTATTAAATTCGGCTGTCTTTTGTTTGCAGAGGCTGGATAGGAGTTTTAAATTGTTGCAGCGTCGTTTGGAAAAATCTGGCATTATGGGGCTCCTGAGTGTTTAGCGAAAGAGGGCACTTGCTCAGAGCACACGTTGTGCTAGAGTTCACCGATTCAAGCCTGGGCCGTGTCACTGCTCAGCTGGGACTGGGATCTCCCAAGCGGTGATGCACATGTGCCACGACATCACCAAGGCGTAAGGCAGACATTAGTTAGCCTGGGCTACTGAGCTTTCAGTAGCGCCTACAACCGCTGGGTGCCAGAAGCAATCAAGAGAGATGTGATACTCCTCCAATCAATGGCAATTCTCCTTTAAGGCATTTAAAAAAAATCTTATACTTTATATAAGTATTTATATGTATAGAAATCATTGCTTTAATTACAGAACGTGCAACTGGAAATAGATTAGAACAAGACAGGTCATACATACGAGTTAGAAATGGAAATACTAAGAGACAAGGCATGACAATTTGATAAAGATGTCTATGTCATAAAAGAAAGACTTTAGACTTGAAAAAGTACAAGTGAAGGGTGTAGACTATTAAAACAGAATTTGGAAACCTTGTGACAAATCATAGCAACATCTGCGATTGCTCTTTATTTTATTGTTCTAGGAATAGAAAGAGTCTTACACAATGCCCGTACTGCACAGTAAGCATGCAAAGCTTAAATTGCATCAAGCCGAAAACTCAGAAACCAGTCCGTATGTATATAGAGTAACATATAATCATCGCCAAACCCTCACGTGTAAAGTGTTACCAGACTTCCTTTGAGAATTCCAGCAGTCTTCTCATATTCAGCCCACTTGATTCAGTTTAATAAGAGCATTGGACTGTCCAAGTCTTTAGAGTCAGAGATGCACACTTTTTTCTAAAGCTGATCATAGTATCCTTGTACCTTTACTGGGGTTTTATATTTATTTTGCACTGGTCCCCCAAGGTGCTTTACTGTACTGAACTATATGTATATGGAAAGCCCGGATACACTACAGTAACCATTCCTTGCTAACATCTATGATGGGACATCATGGTATCCCTGCGGTCTAGTATAGAGAAGCATGGCTAAGCCATATTAAAGACACGGGAAACTTCAGCAGAAATTAAATGAAACCATAGCAAAAACACAACAATAAATTCACAAACAAAATAAAGAAAGAATGGTCTATTCCCATATGACTTTAACTGGGGAATCTATACTTGGTGACAAGAGCTTGCAGACCTGTGTTTCTGGGGCATCTCCTTGTCAGACACCACTTTGTTTTTATTTATTTACTGTTTCACACAGAATGAAAACGTGACCCTAACCACATAGTTTGGGTATATTTAGATGTAAAAAAAGAGGCCATTTGGTTTGTAAAAAAAAAGTCATTTACATTACAGGGACATGCTCACATTGTGTGTTTTTCATCTTTGTGGGGAGTGTTGTCTTGAAACTTGACCCCACGTTGATAGTAATCCATGCCCTCACACAAAGCATGCGATGGCCGTCTTTAATGTGATTGTGCTGTCACATGCTTGTCATTACAGCAGGAGAAAATTCTCAGCTCATTACTGTCACAATAATACTAGGACAATAGGGTGTTGTCTTAATGAGCTATTGCCTTCACCTAATTCCCCTCCCCCCCCAGCAGCGAGAGCTCCTCAGGGGGGTGTCCCCATAATCATTAACTGCTCAGTTACTGGAAAGATTCCACAATGTTGGGGACCTGCCATATGGAACTCCTACCCATAACTCTAATGAAGTACTGTATCCCTGCATCATGGGTCTATCTGGCAAAGTAAGAGCACTCAAATCAAAACGTCAGGCCAGTGGTCAAACACCAATCAATCACAGTATTCAATGGCGGGAATCGATTGGGTAGAAGGAAGAAAACGCCAAACTAAAATCTGCCCGTCCTATACTGAGTTTGTAATTAGCAGCTGGAGGGTGGAGTTGAGGTTTTGACTTAATGAAGGGAATCTGAATGTATATCCACAGCTGGCTCTGTGGTTCCGGCAGGAGTCACGACGCACACCTTGTGTTCTGATCTGCGTGGAAGGATTTCTCTGGCCGGACCACCACCACACGTCAAGCACCGAAGAGGAGAACCTGGAAGAGAAGTACTTCTGCTTCACGCCAAGGCTCTGAGAGACAGCAGCTATACAGCAGCGGAGACAGAAACTCAAAACATCTTCCAATGGGGACAGTTGGGAATTCATTCACATGGGCTTCTGTGCCTCCCATGGGGAGTTCACCCCATGATAGTGATTAAAAAAAACGAAAGATTTTCATTGTTCAGATGTTTAACGGCAACAACATATTCATGTTATTTTATTTAAAATGCATTTACAGTCATTTCACAGTAAAGTCCAATAGCTCTGGGGGTTGGGGCTCAGTGAAGGCAGGGAGAAGCACTGGAGGAAAAGGCTCTCTGGGAGCTTATAGTCACTTTGAACCAACGGACTCCTGCTGGACCAAAAAAAAAATCTAACCCAGAAAAAGAACAACTCACACCAGCAGCTGCAAGTGTCCATCTATATGAAAACAGCTCCTCTGGAAGACAAAAAGCCTCTTTTCTTGCCACTGTTTTTGCAGCGGCAACCTCATCTTGCACTACAAAGCAAATCTCCTAGACAAAGCACCCCCTTGTCAAAGCAGCTCTAGTAATAATTAACAGCAACTGGGAACAATAGCCCTGAACCAACAAGTCGCAGGGTTAATGAGTCAGCCTTCCCCACCTCACCCTCACAGCCCCATTTTAAGGGTAATTATTCACAAGGGGCTCACCGGCACAGCTCAGATACTTGCACATACTACTCTGCAAGATTTCTTTGCAAGATTTAGGAAGAGGGTATTGTGGTGCAAAAGAATAATTTATTTTGCAGACATGAAATCATGGCAGACACATTCCCCACGGTGAACACGCCGATAGATACGGTACGTGCTCTTTTAGAAGTGTGATCAGCAATGTGAATGGGAACTATATCGATGCCGTAGCTGACGTTCTTCTTTCAGTGCTCGTGAAACGCACGAGCGATGAGATCTATCGGGAATCGTGTCCAGCCCTCCTTAGCCAAGGTCTTCTGCTGCTGTCCCACCCTCCTGGGTAAGATCATGGCACCCTTGTGTTTACTCCCTGCTCATTGCACATCAGCGGGCAGAAGACTTGGGAACGACAGAGGTAAGAAGGCAAGCACTGAGCTAGAAGAAGCTGTCTGAATGAAAGACAGAAGTCTCTCTGCAATCAGACACATTCCGCGCAGACTCAAAGCAGTGAAAAACTGAAAGATTCGACCCCTGAACAGAGGGGATTACAAGGTGGCCTGAGAAAAGGATTCAAAATCCTCGAGGTCACCGACAAGCCTACGGATGACTTCAGAACCCACGCTGAAATCAAACCAGGGGACACAAGTGGAAACTTGCACCGCAGTGTATTTGATAACAGACCAGGAGATGTTTCTTTACCAGAAGGGTTGTGGGAGAGTGGAACAAGCTACCCACAGCCATGTAATTGACTCTGATACTCTGGCTTCTTTCAAGAAATGGCTGGATTGAATGGCTTCCTCTCATTTCTGCACATTCGTGTCATGTGCTTCCCATACTGCGTTTTGTGTTGTTGTGCAGTTTACAGGGTCCTGAAGCTACGCACGATGCACTGTATTTCGATAACGGTTTCCCTAGCTAGTCCCTTTGCTTACAATCACTAGAATCAAAGGGATCACTGAAAACTTATGAGGATTCTTAAATATGCCTGAACGGACAAGCAACTTGTCTTTCCAAAAATCTGAAAGTAGAAATGAGCAAAGAAAAGAGACAAAAAGCCTTATTATCTGTGAGAGCTTTATCTTCCTCTCCACTAGGATTCTAACATTCTGGAATAAAGAGACAAAAGGTGAGAAAATGAAGCATAGTGAAAGATAAGAGCTTTATCTAGTTTGGTAAAGTCAAAGGGAATATTAGGAGAACCTGGCTACATTTTAACACATCACCTTCGCAGACTGTCCTGCTGTTGGCTTCCTGCGGTGATATCTCACATTTCATCTGTTTCCAATAGCCTAGTTAAAATGTTCTCAAATTGAGTTAAAAAGCTTTCTGTCCTTAAGGTGTCAGGGTCACTTTGAGCATTAAATGTAATGACATTAAAGTAGCATTTTATTTCTGCTTTAGCCTTCCTCTGCTGATGAGAAGTCAAACAAATTTGCTGATTACCTCGTTAGACTCGAGACACCTCTGTGAAGTACATCTTAGTCTCTCTGAATAGAGAGTGATGTTTGCTGGGGTTCCTATGAGTAATCTCTTGTATGACCCCTGTTACCCTTACTGGAAAGGGTCTAACTTTGAAAGTCACAGTGGGAAAAACTCTGGTTACTTGAAGTATCTGAAAAGGTAACAAAATATAATATATATTTAAAGATGATGTGAAAGAGGAGGCCCACAGTCCCTTGGACACTGGGCTAACCCTGAAACCCTCTGTGATGGGTGCACCTTTGTAACGTCCTATCAAACACAGAAAGCAAGACAGTGCTTCTGAAAATCCTGTAGTTCTGTAGTCACTGTGATTACTGGTGTTTCTTAGAAAAAAAATGGGGAACTTCGAGACTGAGGGTGTAAAACTTTGATACAGAGTCCTCACCAAGCAAATACTGCCAGCGTAGAAAAGGATGCTGGACCGCAGCGTGTTCTGCCACTCAGCCATCTGAACCCCCAGTGGCTCTGCATGAACCCCAAGGCCCTCCGACTGATTCCAGTCTTCCATTAAAGAGCACTGTTTCACTGTTACTCAACTCTGAGAGTGTGCGCAGGAATTGCACTGCCCTGATCTGACAACGGATGATCCAGAATCACTGTTGCCCCTGCGTGCCTGTGAATGCCACCTCACTGCTGCTGGCCCCCTGTGCCTCTGGCAGGAAACTCCCAGGTCTCAGATGTTGCCAGCCTACTGGATATTTACTCAATTTTAGAATCCAGATTATTTCTCGTGAGATACAATTTGAAAGCCACTGGCTGCCGTTGGGCTCCAGTCCAGACAGGGTTCTTCAAGTCTTTCACAACAAACGAGTAGGTAAAAGTCAATGTGGATAATACACCCAGTTGTCCTATGGCTCTTCTGCTGCACATACCTCACCCTGGACCAGATTCCCGACATTTCTCAAGCCTACTGTTTGCTCCCACAACAGTCCCCCTGCCCACACTCGCCCCCCAAACGCAGACAAGACAAAAGGGAAAAACAAAACTTCTAAAACTTTCAAGTGGTTATTCAGGCAACATTGGGTTATTACAAAAGAAGGCAGTCAACACAAAAGTTCTGGTTTGGGCAGAGGAGGAACAATGGGATGAGTGAGACATGTTTTAAAAGGCTTTGAATCCCCACAGTTCTTAAGTCCTCTCTGTATCTGTTAGGCTTCATCACAAGTGCTAAAAAATATACAGGACGTGCAGGAGGTCTAAAAAGAAATTATGTGCTGTATAGTAGCGCATTGTACACAAAAACACAAGCAAACTTATGAATGAGAGGAGGCCATTCAGCACAATAGCAACACAATCCAAATATATAATCCTTGAAAGAAGGGATGGTATCAGTTTTGACATCATGGCTGAGAAGCTTATTCCATACTCCCACAACCCTTTGCGTACAGAATAGTTGTCTTTTCTCACTTCCAAGTGCACTTTCCCTTAATTCCTGTACATTTTTATCTTGCTTTCAAATTGCTCTGAAACATTCCTGAATAATTACCTTGTGCTCGCTTCTCTTCATAAATTGTAAGAGATTTCTCTTCTTCTATTCAGAAAACAAAGAAATTCTAAGTCTCAAGTCCAGTTTGAATTTTAATTAAATACTGGATGTTGTGTCCCCAGCAAACACACACTTCTGTTTTCCACTCAAACCTCTCCCTCTCACTGTGCATTCTAGTATCTCTACATTTTGAAAGATGGCCCATCTGCAGCTAGTTAACACAACAATTAGGAACAATAACATTGTATCAACACAGCCATCACATAATAGAATGGCAGACTACAATGGCCCAGATGGTAACGAGATACCATGTGCCCCTGATTGCTCTAATTACAAGAAACCTGATCCATGACATACAGCCCAGTTACATTAATATGTTTATTCGGCTGAAATTCCTGACATATTCAGCAGCAACAGCCTGCTTGATTTATCAGGGCACACAATCGTTTGTGTTAAAATGTCACTCCTTTACTGGTTACAGATCTTCTGAGTAAGGGCTTAGATTGGAGCACAGATTTAAAAATATATATTACTAAAGGAGCAAATTTAGTATTGGTCTGCCATAAGTGAATTCATCCTGCAGGGATTCTTTCTGCATTAGTGACTATGTTATAGTGTATATATATATACAGAGACACAAGAGCAATTGGGCAAGCAAAATAGATCCACTCTGGATACAGTGCCAAAGATCATAACATATCTAGTTGCTTCTTTTTTTATTTATTCAATTTACTAACTTTGACTTATACACATGTACTTACTGTATATAGTACAGTAGTTTACTTTATACATACATTACAATTCTGGATCTTCATATATAGAGGTGTTCTGAAATGATAACGTGAAAATATCATGTTGGGGGACTAACAAAATTAACTATCATCACTACTGTGGCATCACACATCAGCCTCAGAAAAGCACTCAACTTCTGTTTTAGGCAAAAGACGGTTAATTTATAAGGCAGAGTACATCAGGTTAACCTTGGGTGTGAATCAGAAAACCTGTGAAAGGAAACAAAGGGCAGGCAACACATGCAAAATAAAATTGATTGCATCGCCCGAGTCATTATCAGACCAGCCTGCGCTGATGCCATTCGTTTTCAAGCTCAAAGAAAACGGTGCAATAACCACCTAGCCCAGCAATTAAGGTGGCAAAGTGAAGCTTTAAGGAAAGTTCGTCTTTTGAGCCGGGTGAATGCTGGAAGGGTATACACTGGAAAACAGAAGAGCTACAGATAATAGGCTTTAATGAGGCATTCGGACTCAGGCAGCTGGAACAAAGGGCTGGCTTTGGGATTGTGGAGTGTGTAGAATCCGAAGAGCAGGGAGGAGGGGATTGTTGTGGCTCTGATTGTGTGATTTAATACCAACTGCGTGAACCGAGCCAAGGGGATTTTGTTTTTGGGGATTGTGTGTGTGTGTTTGGCGGGGGGCGGGTAAAACCTAAATGTCCTCCGCCAAGGGACCCGAGAGTCCTGGCCGAACTCTGGTCAGACTCGGAGCTGCACTCCCGCCGGGAGGAGGACAAGGCGAAGATGAGGACGATGATGAGGAGGATGATGGATGTTCCAACATTCGCTTTTTCAGGTCTCTTCAGAAGACTCTCTAGTAACGGGGATGCTGTGCGGATGTGGGCGTGAGTGAAATGAGTTTGCCGGTGTGTGCTCAGCTGGGAAGGATTTAGCCTGCAGAAAGGAGGCTCAGGGAGGAATACCTGGATTATCCAGAAGGATTTACTGCTCCAATTCAGAGCAGCACTAATCAATTTCAGGCAATCGGCACCATGCACCCCCCCCCAGCCCACACGAGCCAGCACAGCCTTCCCAGTACGGCTCCTTCTACACAGTGGTTTGCCCAACACCCCTCATGTGAAACACATCTCTGTCTTAAGGAAAATCCAAGCACTTTCATCATTCTGATGTAGTAAATCTGCTTTAGAATCTGACACAATTACTCAAACCAAGATTAAAAAGGAAGCTCCTATCACTGTAAAACCCTCTACAAGAACAATACCAATTACTCTGCAGCTTGCCGTGTAAAATCACACTACGAAACGGATATCCAACTTGTCGTGAAAAGAACGCGGAGCGCATTTGCTCTCAATGTTGCGGCGACTGTAGTAACGCTTTCATGCGCACTGCTCAGTTATATGTGGTGATCATATTCCTTCCACGGAAAAATGTTGCCTTACACCACTTTCAAGTCTTAAAACAGATCTCCAAGCTTATAAAAAGTATTCCAAATAAAATATCCATTGTATTCGACTACAGTTTTGCAATGTAACGGAAGTCTCAGGAAATTTAAGGGTGGTGTTTATAACTGATGTTTGGCTTCATCTGTGGTATTTCATATGGGTTTGGCAGTACATTGCATTCTACTCTTTGAAATGTAAGAAATAAGGTTATCTTTTCAACACTTTCTCTGCTGTAAAAACATAGGACATATCAATCAAGCAGTTGCGAAAGTCATTCTCTGCCTTTCCCAAAATCCTCAACTTTTAACTTGTGCATCAAAAGTAGAAGCGGATATGTTATTGCAATGATACCAGTTTGCTTTTTAATCTTGGTTTGGGTAACCGTGTCAGATTCTCAACAAGGGCACGTTCAGAATCTGATAAAAATGCGTCCCGGGCACGATGCGATTGTATTTTAGAGGCTGATACGGTACAGAGAGGAATCTGCATATCCTTTTCAGAGCGTGGTTCAAAGCAAGTAGGTACAGCGCAAGCTGGAGAGAGAATGTGGTTACTGGCAGTCAGCCACACCATGACACCATTGTTTCTGATGAGTGAAAGATATTCCCCTCTCATGCAGAAAATTATTGGCAAAGGCCTCAGACCTGCTCACCACATCTAGCTTGCGGAAACTCTGGTGGGTGCTGCTGGTTAGAGGCTTGTATCACTGTTACCTCTGAGAGACAGTGTGGGCTTCTAGCCCTACACCACCTCGGCTTCGGAAACAAACCCAGTCTCAAGCTAGATCGCCCCCCCCTCCCCGAGGCTCGGGAAAGGTAGGACCTCATTCTCACTTCACACCAGTTCAATTATAACCCTGCCTCCACTGATCTAATTAAAGAAATCCTCGCCGTTTTCCTTCATTGGTGCGATTTTGAGAGCTGTTTGGGCAGTGCTTTTATGCTTTTGCTGTGTTTCTCGCATGAAGTCACTCTAGCTCTGCTGAGAATTGCTCGGGTTCTGTCTTCACTGCAGTCTACGACTCTGGACCAGGGGAATGGTGAGATGTTCTGAGCCAACAATGACCATGAATAATGTTTACTACAGTAGCCTACAGCTCCTAAGGCCTCGCCAGCAAAGCGAAGGCCTACTATAAATTCAAGACATCCACCGCAACCACAGCACAACTAAGATAATGTCATGGCAAAAGAATGAAAATACTATAATAAATCTACCGAGTTGATTTATTACGGATTGTCTTTGGCATACTGCTGTTAGATAAAATCGTTCATATCCAGCTAAGATCGTTTGAAGAAACTTGCCAAGGAGAAACTCTGAAACTCATATTTTTATGTCTGCTTCCAGTTTCACTAGGTCCTTCTAGGTTCTAATCAGCACGCGAAACCAATCTCGAGACCCGGGAACAACGCTGAAAATAACACATGAGTATGAAAACAAGGACAGCTTGGCTTTCTCGTTCAAATCAGCCAACAATAACAAAATCTAACGATTAACAATAACCATTTTCCGAACAGATTCCACTTACCAACCCCACATCAAAGTGTTTTTGGAGTGATTCATGTCAACGCAAAGGATGTGCCAGCGCTGTTTCAATACCAGTCAGTTGGTTTCCCATAATGTATGCTTCTCTGCTTTTCTGTGTGCTGCTGGCTTCTTCATATTACCGACTTCGGGCAGAGCAAACTTTCAGGACAGGATGGGCTTTTGTGGTAGAAATCAAATCACTTCTTCACTCACTCAGATGTTTAAAAGATTTGATTTCCTATCATTACTCGTGAACTAGATTTACCAGGCAGTCAAGCAGGACAGCAAGAGAGTCGTTGTGAGTTTGTGTGTGAATGTCTGACAGGATCAAACAGCCGTGTGTATTTGCTCAAGGTAAAGGTTGTGTATTCATTGGTCTGTTAATCTAAAAACAAAGTGACTGAGGGAGAGGTGACAGTCAAAAATAAAGAGTAAAAATGCACAGGTCTTAGGCTTAGTCATAGGCTAACCCTGGAGACCCTGAGAATTTCTGACTTTTATTTTGTATTTCATTTCACTGTCAGTCACATCTTGCTACAAGTGCTGTGTATCACATAGGACAGTTTCTAGTGCATTTTTGGAGAAAGCAAAAAGTGGATGAGTCCTGCTGTACGTAAAGTAGTCTTTCAGTATAGTACATACAACAGGACCTCTCCCTGAATCTGACTTAGAAACAGTTTAATTCCCAAGACAACATGCAGTATACTGCACTTCCTAAGAGAGCCTGGAACAATTGCAAGGTTACTGATGTTGTGTACTGACCCACTGGTTGGAAACCTAATCTATTTTCTAGGGTTTTTGTAATAGGAGTGACTTCTACAAGAATGGCAATATAGTGTAGGATTCAGATTTAAAAAATAAACCTATAGTGTTTTTGTTTCAAATGAAATACAAAATTGAAATCCATCAGATACAGCGATAAAGATACGACATAAATTAAACACCACCCATCTAGAGATTGATTTTCTAAAAGAATGGATTGCTCGGAAATGAGCACGAAAGAGATTATCCGTGTAGAATAACATTTTCGACGGTCAATAATGTCGTCAGTGCGGCACTTTGTACTGCTGTATGTTACTTACAAATTCAACTTAAAAGTTAAACAGTGACGAAATGCAGAAAACGACGAGCTCTGTGTGTGGAATACCGGTAACGACCTGTAGGCGTGATGCATACACGAACCTTCAGATTCAGCACTTCATCGCTTAATAAGTCTGAAGTTACCAATAAAAGAAGCTTCCGATCGGTTTGACGGACTTCGCTTTGACCTACTCCGGGTTCTGCAAAAATCTGCTAATGGGGATTTTTTTTTTGGTAAAATCATTCTCCACAATAACGGAGAAATTGACCGACAATATAACGTTTTAAAATAAAAACTACACACACTGCATAAAATGCAGGGATGTCCACAATAGTGAAGTTTAGGAGTAGGACAATTGCCTATGATGGGTGCTATTAGTGTCAAGCATGCTTTAGTGAATTGTATACAGTGTACATACAACACATGAACTGCTTGTACAGGTATGATAAAAAGGCACAGAACTATTTTAAGACTACAAACACACACTTAAATCTTTGGGGGGAACGAATATTAACCATTGTGGTCTCGGATTCTACCGTCATTTTATAGAATATCCGACGCAACGCTGTTTCTCTCCGTTTCAGTAAGAAAATAAATGCATTATTGCCAACATTTGTTTTTCTAAATTGCAAGCAGAAAAGGCCCGGGCTGTTGGTCCGTTCGGCCTTCATTTCCAAAGTTACAGTCGCTCAGAAGCAGCAACTATTGTATTCTGGCTTTCATTAAGAAAAAAAAAGGGTAATACATTTCTCAACTACATTCCGAAGAAGCGCTTTAAAAACGGACGAGTGAATGAGAGTCGTTGTGCACACAGCACATCTTAGGTTTGGATTTGGCGCTTGGATGCTGCGAGGGGGGTCTGTGAGGGAATTATTTCGGGGGGAGGGTAAGAGAGTCATTCCCCCCTCCTCTTTCTCATTCTCCTTTAAGTCTATTGTTGCGAGTCTTGTGCTTACACTGCCCGGAGCTACTATCAGTACTAAAATGCTCGGAGCGGCTTTGCGCTGTAACCGGAGAGTCGCTAATTGAGAACCCTGGACCTTCTGGCTTCCTCCCGGACGAGCCATTAGTGAAGAGATACCGAGCAGAGCGGTGCACAGACTCCGCATCTGCTGCGTCGCTGCAGTCGATGTCGTTTTTTTAAATTATTTACGTCCCAAGTCCTGCAGCAGGGGTGAAAAACAGAAAGCCTACACGATCAACACCTTTCAGCGGAGCCGCGGAAGACAAGCGAGAATCCCGGAGAAGGGCAGGAGGAAATGTTGTTCGGGGATTTGTTGTTTGTAATGGATTTTGCTATGTTTTTTTGCTGGGGCTTTTGACTCCTGAATTTGCGTGTTTTGTAAGCTGTTGTGTTTTTTTTGCTTCAACCTACAAGGAATCAGTTGTTTTTTTTTATTATTTCGGTCTGGAGAAAACACAGCCAGGACGCTGGACTTGTTTCGGACTTTGCACTCAGTACCAGGGTGTCAGTGCCTCCGGGGACTCGCAATTTCAGAAGCTAAACCGTAGTGTTTGGGGATAAATCCGTGCAGCTCTTTTCTCCCGGAGGAGGAACACTTGAGTACCCGAAGCTCGGGTGAGGCCACAGAACTCGGGACCCAAGTCCTAAATGGGGATCCATCTCCCCGATGTCTTGGAATTGTGATTTATCGAATTATTGACTCATCGGTTCGCGGATACGCCAACAACCCAAGATACCGAGGCAAGGTAATTACAAATCTTAAACCATTCCCACCTTTCCGTGAAACATGAGCTCTGAAACAAAATTAGGACTTTATTTCGTGATGAGGGATGTTTATTACAGGGCTTTGAGCGAGGTGCCTCTTCGCTGTGTTTTTAATTCTCGTTTTTGAGAATGACGACTGTGTGTGCGCTCGCAAGTAAGCGTCTCCCCGACCAGTTACGCAGCCCGTGGGGGCTCTAGTTGTGTTGCAGAAGGGCTGGTGTTTAATTATAGGTTTCCTCGGCAGTTTGGAGCGAAGTCTCAAGTGCTCCGGCTAATTTTGGAGTTTCAACCAAATTCCACAGACCGGTGACACCGCAGCTGCAGTCTCTCTAGACTCCGGTGCTTACAGACCTCTCTGGACATCTCTGCCTCTCTGTCTCGTCAGATGTTTCTAAAAACAGAAGTGAGGTGGAAAAAAAAGTCGTTTTCCCTAGACGGGTGCGTGTCCCGTAGTTGGATGAATCAATCACTCGAGCTGTATGAAACAAACGTTGCGCGCGTCCTTTCTATGTCCAAGAGCAATACGCTGTAAAAATGAAAACGAATACCTGAGTTGATTTGAAAAAAATAAATTAATAGGACGAGTTAAATTGAAATGAACACCAAACAAGGTAGTCGGTATGAGGCCAGTTCTAAACTCGCCAGCCGGCGTGACTTAAAAAGGCAGTGGACTCGGTATCCAGTGTTTGCGCAGTAGTTAAAATTTAACCAAAGATACAAGTTGGAAAGGAACAGAGCTAAAAGGACCCCTGCCTTTGATTTACGGTGGATGCAGAGTCACCGAGGGGGGGGGCTGCTAAATTTAGCCTGGGCTAGTAGTACAAAACTGTGTGTTACCTTGACCATCGAGTCACGTACTGTAGAGCTGGGCTCCGGTCGCTTGCGTTTTTCTCTCTTGTAGCTCCGAGACACGTGAAGTGTGGACTCACCATTTTTTTTTACCATTGGTTTACTTCAGCTGCCTTGGCACGCCTAAAAATTATTTTTAAAAAAAAGAATAAACCTTTGTTGAGTTTCCGGTATTTTTTATTACTGCGAGCTAGGTCTCGGTTAGCGTACGTGCGAATGTGAGCGTAACGCGATGGGTTGAAGTGTTGAAATACAATATCCCGATATCAGGGCCATAGACGATGAGACATCCTGAAAGGCATTGAATGAAATGATGCGAAAGTGACACGAATTCTGATTCTAAGCCATTGTTTTTTCCCCCAAAAAAGTCGCATAATTTTATCGATACACGCGATGGCCAAGTAGCTGGAACAAGTCACACCGGACGCTTCTGCGCTAATCGCCGGGGTCTGCCCTCGCACTTTTAACGCTGTTTACTTGGTACTCCTTGGATTAAAAAAAAAAAAAGAATCCCATCCCCATCTTTCCAAGCCCGTGTCGCCGTGGCAACGGCTCTCGGGCTCCCCTCCGAGCCCTCGGCTGGTGCCAGGGAGCGACAGTCAACTGCACTTTCTGCGCGCTGTGATGGGAGGGCGGGGCGGGACAGACGTGAGACAGATGGCAGTTGCGACAAGTGAACCGAGCCTGGTTGTGTTCCCTTGATAAGATCGGAAAGGCGCTGGCCGTGGCCTTCTCCCGGCTGTCCCGAAGGGTCTGTCCGCTGTGAACTGTACAAAGCACTCTTGAGGCGAAAGTGTTCTTCGGCGGTGTTGAAGGGCATTTTTTTCCCATGCAACACCCGACACGACTTGCAGTTAGCAAAATGCGAGAGAAAGCATAGATATCGGAATAAATGAGCGTTAATCTGTGTTTTTTCCCCCCTGTGATTCGTGATTTTAGAGGTGTGTGGTTACATTATTTATATAGTATATAAGTCCTTAGTGCACAGTAACGAGAATATGCTGCCAAAGATGATCGGCCGTACGCCACAATGCACGGACTGTCTCTCACAGTGTTTTCTTTCATTAAACATCAACAGTGTGGAGTCTGTTTGGTGTTGGGGTGTGTTTTGGGTGAGAAACTTAGTTTAGAAACTTACAGTTTCTCTGGAGAAATGGCCATTAGGAGCAGCTCTTTCCTGGAGCATGTTTGGAGTGAATTTCTTACACAGGAAAATACTCCAGAAAAGACTTGTTTTCTCCATAGTGGCTGATCATAAGTGAAACTAAATGTCGCAGAACGTCAGTCAGCTGTCCTGTCTCTGGCTGCCTGCATATAACAGGGCAGTTTTATTCATGAGAGCTTTTCAAGAACCCACAGCTCTGCTCTGCCACAGGCTCAATCGGGGGGCTGCCGTAAGCGGAGGCAGAGAGGAGACCGGAAGGGTGCCGGTATCTTTCTCGCGGAAACGCAGTGATCTCAACCATCACAATTGCGAGACCTACTTCTGTGCTTTCAGAAATACTGCTTGAAAGGAGCCATTGTCTGCTGTTTGCAGGTATGGCCTCATGGTCAGGGAATCACAAGGACAAATTCAGCACAATCAGAAGTGTTTAAGCTGAAGCATTATCCTTGTAAGCTGAAGCATTATCCTTGAAGAGCCTGGCATTGCTTAGACTATTCCAGCACATCTTTCCTTACTCATAAACAGCACATTGTAGTTGTTACATCTTGAGTAATTTATGACCTCCTGCAATACAGAAAAATGTGTAATCGTGACCTGGGAGAGGCGGGGTATTTGTGGTCAAATACAACTGTGCGTGAAGTTTTTGTTTATAAATGCCTGCTTTTTAAAAAAAAAAAAAAAATAATAAATCTGTTTTGTGTTAAAGCATGCCTAAAATGTTTCCCTTGCACTCTTGCCAAGACAAACGTGGAAATCGGATGTTCGGATTTTGAAGCCCGTTTATAATTAACGCGATTATTGTTTTTGCTTCAGGTTTCAGGCCGTGGGGGTGCGAACTGAGCCTGCCGATGTCAGGAAACAGCATCTAACGCCAATTGAGGGCTGCAAGACTAACCCCCCCCGACTTCCTCCCGCCACCTTTATATAGAAGACATTCTGACAACAGCTCAGCAAGATGAGCCCCTTCTCCCGGCTGTGCTTTGTCCTCTTCGGGATGTGGGAAGCCGTGCTGGCTAAGCCGCTGGCTCTGGAAGACAGTCGGATGAACGGTAGGCTGCCCTCGACTGCCGCGGTATCGCGAGGCCGGTGAAGGGGGGCTGGGGTCCGGCGTGGCCTGTCCTCCTGGTTCAGGGCTGGACCAGCTGGGTGCTGTACAATTCTGGTCATCACTCTCAGTCAGAGTCGGACCTGAGCTCTCCGATGACCTAACTGCATCAGTTATGAACTGGATTAGCTGTCTTGATTGAAGCAGTCAAAAGTCTTCCACAGAACTGTTCAGCTGCATAGCTACTGTTTAGTTTTTAGTAAAGGAACAAGTAAAGGTTTATTCCCTGCTGGAAAAGCGTAGAAAAGAAACAAAATGTTTCAGCTGTGGAGCTTTCTTTGGGTGTGTGAGTCTCTAGTAACCTGTAGACTGAGGCGTGGGCTGTCTGTCTAACACCAGGAGTAAGGATCACGGCTCTGGGAGATCACTAACAAGATTTTGTGAATAACCACGTCACCAAGATGCCTTGCCAGTCAGTTCTGAAGGGATGAGGGATATACAGTCTGTGCCGGCTGTGAGCATAGGCAGTTCTCTCAGCAGCTGGAGGGACCTGTCCTGGCAGGGTCACCCTGCTGCACTCTCGGCAAAAAGGCAGGCTTGCCAATACCCTTTTAAAAAGGCGTTTCAGAGAAACCTCAATTCCCTCGGACACTTGGGCGGAGCGGTGGCTCTGTGGCTCAGGATCTGCTCCTGTGGCTGGAAGGTTACTGGTTCGAATCCCGTGGCTGGCAGAGGAATCCTACTCTGTCGGGCCCCTGAGCAAGGCCCTTAACCCTAGCTGCTCCAGGGGCGCTGTACAATGGCTGACCCTGTGTTCTGACCCCAAACTTCTCTGCCTGTCTGTGTGTCTCATGGAGAGTAAGCTGGGGTCTGCGAAAAGATTAATTCCTAATGCAAGAAATTGTATATGGCCAATAAAGTGATCTTATCTGATGTAGCTCTCATCTAAAGCAGCGACGGATAGCTCTTTAAAGTTCTGTTCACCGAGCTCAGGGAAAAGTAAGGTGTCTTTCTTGCTTTTAGGGAACCAAGTTATGCTAAGTTACAGAACAGCCACTGAAGTGAAAAACTACAGCCAAAAAATCACCACGCGGTGTTCAGGTGGCGAGGCGATTACTCATGTGTGTTCCGTTGTAAAGCGACAGACTCAGTTAATGGGTTTCGAGGTCTCGGGGCCGTTGGCAAACGAAACGGGCTTTTGTCGTCTGGATTCTGGAAGCGGTCCGTGCGGTCTTTCCCGTTCTCAAACAGCGTTTACAGCGCATGGTAGTGGGGTGGGCTCTAAACAAAGTAGTGGTGTACGCTTTTTGGAATAAAAAAAAATCTCTGCCTGTGTTTAGCACTGTTAACGGAGTTTCTCAATCCCCGCCAAAGAGCCCCAGGCACGGAAGTATAGATTTGTCTGGCCTGTTGCCAGTGCTGGATGGGATGAGTGCTGATACTGTACGAGCTGCCTGTTTGAGTATTTCAGCTGTGGCTGGAGCTTTAGACAGCTGGGGTATCTTTACATTTATTATTTTCTCAATCCAACCTGATGCTCAACTAAGGTGTTCCTCTACTGCAACAATGTAGCTTCAGTTGAAGCATGCACTCAATAGAAGGTGCATTCTTTTTTTGCTAAAAACGCTGTACCTGAGAATGGTGATGTCAAATGGTGAGGGCTCAGCTTCGTGACTTGCATGAAGCAGAGACTCCACACGGGAGCCGACAGATGCTGCCCAGCGTGGGTCCTGAAACGATCTGTTCCTCCTGAATTTCTGGTCTGGATTCTTCTTCCACCTGAGCCTGCAAGTTGACTCCAGGAATGGGAGCTGAAAGGGAGAACAATGCTCTATTGAGCACCTGCCAGGAGAAATTAAAGCAATTTAATAACGGTCATAATTCTCCAGCAAAGCTACCAGGAAAGTTCTGTTCCAGAGGGAGAGGGAGGAGGGTTGGTGCAGTTATGAGAAGAATTGTTTTCCCCTGGGATGACATCCAGGAAACTTACATTTTACATGATTTTCCTTGCCGCACACTTTGAAACATTGCCCAGCAGGGGGGAAACCCTGTTTTCAATCAATTGAGGAATGGTTAAATTAATGAATAATCTTCAGCTCTTGCTTAACACTCGCCAAAAAGTTCAATTATTTTTAGTCTTCCTCTAGGCCTCCCTTTTCTCGCTTCATTAATTTCAGTGATGTCTTCAAAAAGTAGTTTGCCTTGTGCTCTTGACTGGTTGATGTTCTTTTGGTGTCTTGTCAGATATAGAACGTGAGAGTTTTATTGAAGAAAAAATCCCAGATGATCTAATCTGTCAACTTGATATTTTAAGTCTTCTGGTTTCTTAAGGGGAGATGGCCTGAAATACAGAAGCAGTCCAACCCTGATAGCATCTGTTTTTTGTAAGATAGGGAGACAGACTTTAAAATGTACTAAAACAAAGCAGCAAAATAATTTCAGAGCCAGTAGTTTTTATTGACATGCTCTTTTAATGAATTCCTCAGCCCTCCAACATCACTTGTGCCTCTTCCGATTGGGCTGATATAGCGTCGAATATGCTGAAATACACATCTTTCGCTGTGTTTCAACTTGCCCATTTTCATGCATCCTGAACAAGTCAGGGGTTTTATTTTTCCTGCAAGAAAGCCCTTTGCCAGTTTGCCCTTCAGGGTCTGTAGTGTGACTGAGCACTTAGTCTCCTCATCACTGGCCACCCCCATCCCCCAGGTCACAGGCGGGTCAGAGTCCAGTCTGGGGGCTGACAAGTTCATTAGAGCATTTACGTGCAGCAGTCAGGGTTGGGTGGGGGGAAGCAGGGAGGAGTGCTTCTTCTGCACTTTGGGTGGCTGACAAAGTTGTCACGCAGGGAGGGGCAGGAGTTCATTTCTAATGTATCACACCTCCCTTCCACAGACCACCCCAGGGAAGCCAGAGAGCTCCCTGTTTAATTACTGTTTATACAGCACCTTGAGCAGTTCCTCTCGACACCTTGGAAGATGGTGACACAAGTGGGGAGTTTAGTGTGATATGATGAAGCGTCAGCTGTCAGCTTTAAACACAAAACAAGAAAACAAATGAGGGTGTTCACTTTGTATTCTTCTCTGGCTGCTGCTCTGCTGTCTTTAAATTAACTTGTCCAAGTCAAGACAGAATGGCAAAGGTAACCCGAACAGTCTACAATTAAAAAAAAACATAGGAAGTATTTTTTTAGGAAAATGCTCTTTCTTTTTTTCTGGGAGCGAGGTGTAAAAACATTTCTCCATCAACTCTTCGTGATGTCCCAGTTGTTTTTTTTCTTGCTGCCTAAAATAAGACTTTTGCCAAACTTGCCAAATCTGTGGGAACAGAAAGTCTAAGCAAGTTTTCGGATCCCTCTTTTTCAGAGCCCAGGCCCTCTCGGCCTGTTCTACAGCCGGGCTTCCCAGGAAACAGCACAGTTGTGGCCGGGAGCGATGTGGAGCTGCACTGCCGGGTCTCCGGGACCGCCAGGGCGCGGATCCAGTGGTTCAGGCCTGTGGAGAGGGATGGGAGTGTCTCTGTCCCTGGCGGCCCCCCCTACCTCAGGGCTCTGACGGTAAATCTCTCCTTCCCGCACGACAATTTCTGTTCAGTTCTTAAAATTCGAAAAAGGTAAAGAGAACAGCCTTCCCAAATGAGCTGAGAATCCACTACGTTTTCGAGTGAGGCCTTCCTCAGGAAAAGCACATCTGGCTCCCCAACCTATCCGATACAGGGTCATGGATGAAAACGATCCTCGCTACCCAATCAACCAATTAACCAACCAGGTTGTGAGTTAATCAGTCGTGCTGTAAATACGCGCCAGGTACCCAATAAAGATATAAGCATAAGAAATATAAAAGTGGGTACAAGTAAACTAATGTGCCCACAACACTCAACGATGTGGGAAAGGAATTCAGTTATCGCGGCACGTTAATGTGTCACGTCATGTGTTGCGACATTAATTCGGGCCCCGCGTGCTCTCGGCCTGCTCAAGAAGTCGTTGCTTTCCCGCGCAGCCGAACCGCCTGAACGTCTCCAAGGGCAGCAGCCTGCGCCTGGCCAACGTCAGCCTCGCCGACGCCGGGGAGTACGTGTGTGTGGCAGAGAGCTCCGCCGGCCGGGACCAGCGGTCCGCCTGGCTCACCGTGCTGACAGGTACCACCTTGACCGCGCTCCCGCCATTCTCCCTGCACCGCCGCTAACTGCTGTGGTGCAGCACTGGCAGGAGGTTTGCAGACCTTATTTTATTTGAATGTGAACAGATGAAGAGGCCTATTTTGTATCTGTGGCCCTACATTCGTTTGCATTCCAGATTCAGCTAAATCTTTCCACACCAGAAACGCCTTTCTCTTTTTTCTCTAATCTAAAAAATGTTTAAGATTTAAATGTGCGACAAAGGGAAAATTAATACAGGACAGGGATGCAGTTATTTTTTTCTCTTCTTTCCCAGAACGGCCACCTCAGACGCCTGTTCTCTCTGCAAGTGTGCCCTCAATGTCCAACAGCGTCTCATCAGGTAAGATTCAAATGGTGGACACCGAGCAGCAAAAAAATAAGCTTTTTGTTCGCAGCATATTTTGTAGCTTAAAGTCTGGGAACAAATTCTGAGGCCTTAACAGCTTGAGTTTTACACTCATCGTGCCATCTGGATATTGTCACTAGGCAACGCAGAATAATTTTCAAATCTTTCTCCCTTTTTGTTATGAAGCCCTAGCTCCTGTCACGCTATGACATGTTCATTACACTCATTGTCAACTTGTCAGGCTAGTTGTGTAGCTCCCTCTCAATCCCACAATACCTTGAGGAGGACAAACAAGGGGGAGGGAGGGTCTCCGTTGCCACGGCGACCAATGTTCATGTTCCAGATGAAAAGAACAGAGTTGAAAGGTCATGCTTGGGAAAACACAAGTAGGCCCCCCTTTTCGCGGAGGGACGGGGGTTTGATTACAAGATGACAGTGAGAGAGAGTCCTGGCCTTTCATTTTTTTGTGTGTGTATTTTATCCAGGAATTTCCAAAGACGAAACAACAGAGCAGTTCTTCCTGGAGCCTGGCGAGGTGCTCAAGCTGACCTGCGACGCCAACCGCACAGGTGGCATCCACTGGTTCAAGGGGGACATGCGGATTCACCATGGAGACCGCATCCAGATTCAGGCCAACACCATGGAGATCTCCGAGGTGACGTACGAGGACTCAGGCCCGTACTTGTGCGTGACGCGCGGCACGAGGGAGGTTCTGCGCAACTTCACCATCACCGTCGTGGGTAAGAGAATAATCCCGAGTCCCACTGAGCAGGCTTTCTGTGTCTTCCACTTGCGTACTCTCTTTCAACCGGTAGTCGCTCCTCGTGGGAATAATGGGAATCATCTTGGGAATAATGAGATGACTAGGCAAATCTTCAGATGTATCTAATTAAATGTTTTGTTTCTGTCATTCATCGCAAGTATTTATAGTAATCTAAAATGTTAGGGGGTGGTTTCATGAACTTCAAAAACATTTGAAAAGTTGGAAAGAGGGAATATATTCTACACTGAGTGGATGGAATTCTGCATGTAAAAAAAATGCACACACCAGGTAGGGTTGGTTGCAGGATGAGCAGATGCTGACTCAAGAGATTAATTTTCACAATTCCTATTCATTTACTTAACTAATTATCTCTTTCAGACTCGCTGGAGTCAGGTGATGATGATGAAGACAATGGCTTGGAAGACACAATGGCAGATGTGGATGAAGAACAGACATATTACACCAGAGGTGGGCTGAATGTCCGTTACTACAACAGCAGCCTTTTTTATCTATAGGGTGCCTGGCGTGTGCTCAGTGAATTGTGGCTCTCGCACATCCCACTAGAGAGGGTCGATAATCGCTTTGCAGAAAAGCTGAAGGTAGGAGAGATGTGGAGACTGGTTGCAATAAGACTGAGGCCACAACTGAGAGCAGTTGAGGATGTTGTTAGGAAGGTCTTTAGCCCCTTCCTAATAACACAAGAGGAGAGAAGGTCAATTATCTTGTTTAGCTGCTAGTCGCTCAATGATCCAAGAGTCCGATCCAAGAATCCATCAAGGTTTTTAACATTGGATCCCAGTAGCCTGGTTTTGCACTTCCACATTCCTGTGTGTACAGACATGCCTCCTGTTTTCTGTCCTTGAGTGCTCGTAAACTTAATGTCCACTAGTGTCCTCCAGCACCTTGTCAGCTTTGTTACTGTTTCTCCCTTCCTCGGATGAGGAAAGTAATGCCACAGTCCGACCCATACCCGGTCGTGTGTTCGGTGTTTGAAAATAAAACACTCCTGCCGGCACATGGCATTTTTCTTGAGTCTTCCATCATTTCTTGTGCTTATAATTAGTTATTTCAAGGGATAGAAAAAATATTGAATAGAGTAGCCCACCAGCTTGAACACGTGTGAGGGTGACTTGTTTTGCGTGAGTTGTTGTTTTGTTGTTCAAAGGTGCCCAGGATGTGCACTCCCTTAGTACTATTAAGTGTGCCTTAGTGATAATGTGGTTGAATGAAGCAGAACAGCAGAACGGCTGTTGAAGCCTAGTCTGCAGTTCTTTGTGTTGTACTTAACTAGTCATGATAACCTTGCCTCTCCCTGGCAGAGGTGAGGAATGAGAGGAGGGGAAGTGTGACTCTTAGTCAAAAGGAGGGATTCATGTCTTCCGTTCTCAAACACTACCTCCCTTCAAGGGCTGATTGCTGTTTGTACAAGGTCACTGAAGCAGAGCTAGACCATGAGTGAGGGAGAATTTCTGCTTTGTCTTTGAAGAATATGCAAGTAACAGCCACTTAATATGAGCCACTGGCAGAGGGCAGGGGGAGTATAGGAATTTAGCATAGCTGACAGAAAATCCTGTGCTTAGTGGCTGCAGCAGTATTGCTTCCCTATTACCTGTGTGGTTTTCAGGAGCGCAATTTGTAAATAATATGTCCTGTAAAGGACATAACAGCAACTGTAACAACAGGGCCTGGATGCCGCCTTTCAGTGCAGCTCTTTGCTGAGTATCGCGTTAATTAAACTCCTTGACCATCCCCTTCCAGGACCTTACTGGACCCACACGCAGCGGATGGAGAAGAAGCTGTACGCTGTTCCTGCTGGAAACACCGTCAAGTTCCGCTGCCCAGCCATGGGAAGCCCTCTGCCCACCATCCGCTGGCTGAAGAATGGGCGGGAGTTCAGAGGAGAGCACCGCATCGGGGGCATCAAGGTACAGGGGGTTGTCTCGCTTCTGCCTTCGGGGGGGCACAGGGTCCACAGCTGGCCTCGGCAGCCTCCACAGGCGGGATCGTGGCCAGTGGCCTGGAATAGTGCTAGGCCCAAAAAAGCCTTTCAGAAACCATCAAACTGCCTCGCGACAAACCATATTTCAAAGAGAGAGACAAAGGTTCTTTTGAAGGGTGTTCGGCGAATAAAAACTACCATGGGCAGATTTGTAGAATTATGAAGTAGAGGAATACAAATCCTTCATGGTCATCGTCACTCCAGATACCAGATACGAGATGGCGTTGGTTCTTTAAAAGCAAGAAGATCTGATTTTGTGCCCTGTCTTCCTGTGCCAGCTGCGCCATCAGCACTGGAGCCTGGTGATGGAGAGCGTCGTGCCTTCGGATCGAGGGAACTACACCTGTGTGGTGGAGAACATCTATGGCTCCATCAGCCATAGCTACCTCCTGGATGTACTGGGTAAGGGCCGCGGTCCTCATTCCTCCTCCTGTCCAGGCGGTGAAGAGAGTCTCTTCTCCAGGCAGGGCTGTGGTCTGTGTGTAACTAGACCAGTGTGGCAGTTTTGTCCCTGACTCCAGGTCATTGTTAGTCTCCTCACCCGTATACCTGTATTCCTAAGGTCTACCCCCTCTTTACCCAATCCCTCAGCTTCTTCCACTGACGTCCGTCTTCTGTCATCCAGCTCACTCATGCAAACCTAACTATAATCAAACCATGCAAACCTCAACTCATCTTGCCATCTTACAAGAGGTCGTTGTCTTCTTCTTTTAGACGGTTTTGACCTTGATCATGGGTAGGTGTCATGGGAGCAGTTCCAGGTTTCTGGATTTGCTTCCAGTCTCAGGGTGTCTGTTTATGCCTCGAGAGTTTGCATGTTATCTCTGTACCTGTGTGGGTTTTAGCTAGGTGCTCCTGTGTCCCCATATCCCATGACCCTGCAGGTTAGGCATGATGGTAATCAGGCCTCATAGCTGACCATTTAAAATTGCTCCCTGCTCAGGGGTCCTGTGAGCAAGGGGAAGAAGCTCTTGATTCTGTGCCATCTTCTTCCTAGGCTGAGCAGGATCAGTATTTCCTTGGTCTATAGACAATTTATTCTCACTGTGTTGTCTGTCCAGTTCATTTCTATTTTGAGTGCACTGTGTACAAAATTAATATAAAGTTGCATTTGTTAATTGTTGACTTGCTTTTATTCTGATCCTAACTTGAGCAAATCTATTACCAGTGAATGAGTCTGAAGGGCTTTTGTGACCTGTTTAAACAGTGTCTGTTTTGCTCTTTGCTAAGTGCTTGCTTGACAAAACATAAAAACGCACAGCAATTTTCTTGTAAAAACAAAGAAAATTGGATACCTTGTTTAGCGTTTGTCAGCAGTCTCTAAAAAGGTTGGAGGAAAAACAGTTCTGACTCCCAGCTGTGATTAATAGCATTAGCTTAAGAAATCCCATCACCTGAAAATCTGTTTAGAAGCAGGTAAACAGACAAATCTAATATCCAAAAACAAAGGGCAGCAGACCATTAACAACCAATCTTGCCTCCTGTTAGCCTCTTAATTCAGTGTTGAATGTTTTAAGAAAAATCGCTTGAAAGGGCCAGTACAGTTATCACACTGAGGCAGGGGTGGGAGAGATCTGGAATGCCCCCAAGCTTGAGATGTCTGAAGATATTGTTACTTGAGCAAGGACAGACAGGGCAAGAAACACTGGTGCAGGGGAGAAGTGACCCAGGCAGCAGTGTGTGTCAGCTGTGACCGGATACTGCGAAGCGCCAAACAGACAGTCTGCTACCCTACCTGACCTGTGACGGACCCGAGTCCGGTATGGGGTCAGCTACTATCCTCCAAGCATGTGGGGGGATAGAGCGTCTTTATACACGTACACATGCTTCCAAAAACTTCAGAGCACTTTAATAGTGGCCCAGCTACACACTCCCCTAATGGAACCAATTAGCAATTGTTTGCCCTGGTTGGGAAGTGGCGCTTATCTTCTGTGCCTTTGCTATCTGATCAGATTAGTCGCTGTAATTAACATGGTTCTTTTTATAGTTCCGTGGCAATTACTTAAGGAATGAAACTCTGCTGCCAACTGTGTTGCCTGCTT